TGCGCGCCGAATATATCTTTCAAAGCGACAAATTCTATGACGCGTCCTATGATTCCGGCGATAAGTCCATACAATGCGGCCGAAAGTCCGATACACTTAAGCTATGGCTTCAACTTAAGGCTTACGGCAGATCCGGTATGGAAGCGGTCGTCAATAATGTCTACGATATGGCTAAGTATGCGATCTCTATATTTAGGGATTAATTAGATTTTTGTTAATCAAATGTTGTTTAATAGATATATAACTGAAAAACTGAAACAAAGGCCAGGCTTTAAGTTAGTGTTGGATGAGTTTGAAAGTAATCTCATCTCGTTTTGGTTTATTCCACCAAAAATGCGAACGAATGGCGAGTCTTTGGCGCCGGGAGTGCTGTCCAAAGTGGCGCCACTTATTAAAAAGCAAATGATGGCCAACGGCTCACTTATGATCGGCTATCAGCCCCTCTCCACCAAACAGTTGCCCAATTTCTTTAGATTAAGTCTAACCTGTTTTCCTGAGCCCAACCATAAGGACATGGATTACATCATTGATGAGATCGAAAGACTGGGCAATGATATCGAGTTATAAAACATGATGAAAACAATCGTTTTTATTTCGTTTGCGTATATAATCTCACAATTATATAAAAATGATGCAAAAGTGACACACATTTCACACATAATCGCATTTTATACAATTTTTGTTTCCAATGTTTATAAACTTTTCTAAAATACAATAAATCAATTTTGATTAATTAAATTGCATTTTTTTACGATAACTCACCTCTCAATAAATTCTATTCAATCATGCAATTCATGCAATATATGTAAAACTTTATGCTTATTTTGGGTGAACTAAACATTAAGAATAAGTCAACAAAGAGTTAATCAGTTTTACAATTTTAATTTAATGAAAATAATATAAAGCAATTGAAAGCTAACTATGTGTGCCATTTAGAGATCATTAAGGTATTACAAAAAGTTACTTTAATTATATTTAATAAATAGTAAAACATTAAAATATTATACAACATAATTAAATTATGAAATAAATTATAATGGTTGGCTGGCCGTGAATAGATTGATTAAAATAAATCATGTGTTATGTGATAATAAACAGACAAAATATAATGTAATTTAAAGTTAACGACAAATTTAATTTGCTTTCTAACTAACTGTTCAATCAATTGCTTGTATTATTACAATTTTGTTCAGCATTTATGGGCTGTTCTGTTGACTCTTCGCTCTCTTTGACATCAAGCCTGAGATTAGGAGGCAATTGATCCAAACTTCTGGTCACTTCCATGCCTTCGAGGAATAGCTTTATCTTCTCTTCACTCCTACTCTTTGCCACTTCAGTCCACGAGTCGATGATGTCTTCGGCAACATTAGGACAATCACTGATCC